TGGGACTTCCTGATCCAGACAGGCAGGTACTGGCCAATCAACCAGACATTGTGGTAGTAGACAAGGACCAGAAGACGGCGGTGGGGATAGATGTAGCGGTGCCAAGTGACAGCAACATCAGGAAGAAGGAGTATGAGAAGCTGGAGAAATACCAGGTCCTTAAGGAAGAACTAGAGAGGATGTGGAAAGTGAAGGCCAAAGTGGTCCCAGTGGTGGTAGGGGCACTCGGGGCTGTGACTCCTAAGCTGGGAGAGTGACTCTGACAGATCCCAGGAACAACACCAGAGCTCTCTGTCCAGAAGAGTGCAGTGCTAGGAACAGCTAAGATATTGCATAGAACCCTCAAACTCCCAGGCCTCTGGTAGAAGACCCGAGATTGAGGAAGACACACACCACCCATAGGGGTGAGAGGGGATTCTTTATATATATAATTTATTTCTCTGAACAAACAAAATAGTTTTCCAACTCTTTTGCTCCTTTTAAAAAATCCATCAAATCAAATTTAAAAATCTATACCATCAGCATAAAATTTGGTATATTAGCTGACGCTTAGTGGAAAATTAGCTATTCTTCCATTTGTCTGCTATAACAAGCTTACATCAGCTTCTATTAAAAGATGCATGTTAATATAGCTAGACTGGAAGATATTTACACATTTTTTTTAAAAAAATGTATAGGTACTGAAATGTTACATGGTACCCGTTGGTTTTCAGAAAGAGTTCCCCGTGCCACCATCAGTAAGAACCGCTGTTGCCGGGCTCTTCGCCTATGATTTCCAGAAGATTCTTCTTGGATCTCTGAGGTAGTTGTACTGGAGGAGCTGAAATGGATTTCATTGTACACAAGAGATAAAAAGAGTAGAATTCAATAATTATATAATTAATAAAATATTTGGCGTGTCTACAGGGGTGGGGCAATTTAAAAAAGTGTCAAGATGGCAGGATGCAACCATGAGATCAAAGCTGCCATCTTGGCCTTTGACACACACATGCACACACCCCGCCAGATACCCCTGAATCTATTGAAAAGATAAAGGGCTTCAGAGATTGACTATACTAGCTGGAAGCTCTCACAGATTCAAGGAAAACCTGATTCCAGTTTCAGTAATTGGTCCCTTACAAGTATGCTTCAGGGCTTTTCAATTCAAGCTCCAGTCAGCCTCCAGAGGGGCAATACATGTGAGCTGAAATTCCTTCTACAGATGTGCCAACAACTGACTTGAAGAAATTGGAATAATGCAAATAGCTCGTGTGTTCCTACCGGGTCACTGCTCCTGATGCCTGTGCCACTTAATAACAGCTTGAAGGATAATTCCATAGTTTGATCAATACTTGAAAGGTGCATTTTGAAAGAACACGAGATGCCTAACTAGGCAACTAAGAAGGGCAAAGAGAGAGCATTTTGTTGAGGAAGGACATTTTTTTTTAACTGCTTCTGTCTTATAACTTTGGGATTAATGAAAGGCTTTGAGAGTAGAAGCAAACCATAAAGCAGTCAGGCCTTTGGGTTCAGGCCCAACACACCAGACCATCGTAAAGCAATCTAGGATTGTTTCAAACTATATTTTCAAAATTAGAATAGGCTGGCAAAATGTCACCATGGTTTGTTGGTTGCCATAGGTTCAACCATTCAAAAAAATTATAATTAAACCAAACAGGTCCTGTTTGAGTGTTACATGTGAATGAAACATAAAACTTGATTTATAGTGAGCTTCTGTACATAGCCTAATTGGTTACGAGAATATAGAAATAATATAAAATAATTGTAACAATTATTAACACAATTAATGCAATAAAATTAATAAAATTAATTTATTTTTAATTTATTACAATAAAAAATCATTGGGATTGTTGATTCATGAGTGCCTTTCAAATATTTATTTGAAAATTAGGATACCTGACATCTTAGAAATTAACTCAAATTCTGCTCTAGTAAAATTATGTGAATTGTCAGCTAAGCTAATATATTGGACTCAAATAGTGAAAGAAACAGCACAGTTCCCTTAACATTAAAAACTAAGTTTTAATTATGGCAATTTTAGAGAAACATTTTAAAGACTAAAGCACCATTGAAAAAAATGGGATTTATGAGTAAGCATACATACAGTTGTATTCTATGACATCCCATTTAAACTCTATATGAAATTAAAAATCATGGAATTTTGTAAATGTAATTAAAAGAGATTGTCTGGCTAATTAGTCAGTTAAAACAGCTGTATCTTACATAACTGTTGCAATTTTCAATATACATTAAGTTTCCAAATCAACTGAAATCTGTAGCTTACAACTATACCTCAAACGCAACATTTAATATTAATTAATGTTCTCTTTAAAGTACTTGAAATCTGGTGTCTAACATGAAAAAGAAATGAATAAAACATAAACTAGGAAGATGTGATAAATACTTTCTATTTTTCCTTCTTGTTCTGCAGAAGATATATGTTTTTGTTTCTTATGACCTTCTAAATGATACGCCTGCCTAGAGTTAACTATCCTATTAAGGATATTGGCTGCCACCATGTGGCAATGTTTTTTGCATTTACTTTCCTTTTTCTTTGACTTACATGGCAATGATCAGATCTTGTGCAATCCTCTCTACCCAGATGGGACTGCAGTTCCAGAATCCTCAAACAAAGGTCACATTGGCCAGTAATTTGGGGAGTTGCAGTCCCAACCATGCTGAAAGGTGCCAGGTAGGAGAAGACTGATCTAGAATATTAACTGAGGGCCAATGTGGCGTAGTGGTTAAGATGCTGGATTGACACTGTGGAGACTCCAGTTCAAGTCTACTCTTAACTCACTGGAGAATTTGGGCTAGTTGTTCTCTCAGTCCAACCTACCACGCAGGGGCATTGTTGTAAGGGAAATGGAAAGATGAAGCCAATGTATGCCATTTTGAAGGAAAACATGAGATATAAATCCAATAAATGAATTCTGCTTTCTTTGGCTAACCCACATCTGACTTATAGAAAAACGTAAAGATACTGAAGTATCTTGACATGACGATAGCATAACTATGGGGGAAAAATGTTATATGACCAATGCTTTTCTTGGGTTTTAATTTGAATGCCTGTCGATTTACCTGTCCTTTAGAGAAACTGTTGATCATAAGGAAATGGTTTATTATAAGAATCTCTTAACTGCTAAGGGATGCTCTGACAATGCTCATCAGCAGTGGATTTTAATTCTGAAATCCAGTGATTTTGAATATAATTGCAGAAAGAGTGAGAGAGGCAGACTGCTTACATGCCTGTGTCTAATCTCAAGACATTGGCCAAAATTAATGCTTATCTACCTCCCAAAGAAGAGATTTGTCTGATAATTTCTACTGTTAAAAGTACAGAAGAAGGCTAGGTTGTTGTTGTTTTTTCCTGGTCAGTTGGTAACTTCATTTCCAGTTGGCATCCAGGGACTATTATAGTTATAATGAGATAAACAGCATATTTTATAAATAATCTTATTCTCTGATCACTTGAAAGTTCAGAGGACAAATGCATATTCTCTATGTACATGGTATATTTCCCAGAATCAGAAAGAAAAAGTTAGTCTCTATTCGCCCAGAGCTGTATGTTTGCATCATCACCCCACCTACTTCTTCTCAACTTTGTATGATACACCTCATAATAATAAAACAAATTGCAAACAGTGGCAGAGACATTGCAGCTATACTTGGGAATACTTCTGGTGCAACCATGGTGTATAGGACTGCAGTGTGTAGCTATTTTAAAAATTCTGTACCAACAGGAAGCAGAGATACAGCAGTCATTATATCTCAATTCTCATAAATCCTCAAGATGGCAGGGATTTTTTCTTGTATACTGTTCAAAATGTGTGCAGCACAATAACTGCGGAAACCTGTCAAAAAGCAGCACCTCTCTGCACCAGTAATAAGGACCAGCAGCTTGCTGTTAGTGTTGAAGAATGTCCTTGTTAGTTAAAATCACCTTGGTAGGCAAACCAAAAGGCTACTTGCTTTTTTGAAAATGTTATTCAGTGTTCAAGTATTGAAAAAGAACATCAGCTCCTGTTTCAGCAAAAAAATAATCCCCCCCCCCAAAAAAAGGGAGAGCTGGATACATTTGTAAAGAACTTGGAGAATATTATGATGTTGAAAACTGTCAGATATAAATGCAATTGCCTAGGAGATCTCTGTTACTGTTCAAGGATGCTTTGGACAGTACAAAACATTATGTGGCCCCTCATAATTTATGGGAAAAAATCAAAATCAGTTACAAGGATTTCCCAGACTGAATCTTTTTCTGCAAGCCCACTGCCAAACACGCTTGGATATTAGAGCTTGCATTGCCAGGGAGCTTTAAAATTAACCTCCTCCTTTATCACTAGAAGAGAATTCCTCTATTCTCAACAACTAATTCAGTGTAACATGTAAGTTTATATATGCCTACTGAAAATATGAATATATCCAAAATAGAAAGCAGGTCAAATTAATCATGAAGTTTTCAGCTGAATCTTCTCTCAGAGAGAATGAGTTTTAATATTCTCTGTCACAATTCAAAGTCAGAGAGTATCATGCCCTTTTATTTTTGTATTTTTTACTGCAGAGAGAGAGAGAGAGAGAGCGCACGCGCGCGAGCTGGAGATGTCTGTGGAAAAGAAACCGAGTGTCCACTTATCACATCAGGGACAGCATAATTCTTAGCATTACACATTCTAAATGAACATCTCAGAATGATTAACTCCATCAGGGTCTGCTTTTCAGCTGTCAGATGGTGTTGAATTATTTTTCTCTTTGACCATTTGACCCAGTCTGGCTGGAAATGATGGTGATCCACAGGTTCTCTTGATTTTGCTGGCAGGTTACTAAGGGACTGAGAGACAGAATGCCTGACTGGCTGGATTCTTAGTCTGATATATGATATTAGTATTCACAAAGGTATTCCATTATTTGTCTCTGCTATACTACCTTCCCTTGGCCTTTGTATGTGTATTCTTCAACAGGCAACTCTCCAAAAGCCCCCCTCCCACCAAAAAATATTTAATTTTCCTCCTCCCTCCAAAAAAGGTTTAATTTTCCTCTTCCTTCCAAAAAAAGGTTTAATTTTCACCCCTCCATAAAAAGTTTAATTAATTTCCCCGCTCCCTCCAAAAAAGGTTTAATATTTGTTGCGTATTGGGCCATACAAGGACCATGATCATTATTAATGTTATAAAAATTTCAATTTTGAAATTAATAATAATTAAGTTTAGAATACATTCAGGAAACAAGGAAAAAATGGGAAAAATGAAAAGAGGGGACTATCTAAATGCTTTTTGTATGTTTTTCTTTTTCTTTCTTTCTTCTTTCATTACTATTTCAAATTTCCCCCTCAAAAGAAACAATTTTAAATGCTTACACAATATTGATTGCAGTTATTAGTTGGAGCACAATAGGAGGGAATTGTGTTGCTTCATGTATGAGTGACATTAATTTTTTTATTGTTTTTGTTATTAGCTGCCTAGGATTATTGTATTTGAGATAGACGGCCGTATACTGGAAGTTCAACAAATACATAAATTTGAACGAACCATTTTTTCCACACATGGAATGTCAGAAATTAGAGTGAACACTGCAGCAGGGGGAAGCAGGGGACCATTTGAATCTCCTGCTTTGAGGGAGAAGTATGTTAGGTCAACAATGACTATGTAGTGAGAAACCTGCTCACAGGAGAGAGAGAAGCAAGTTCCCAGTTAAAAGTCTACAAATCCTACAACTGGGCCTGAACTTTATTATTTTCGTTGATATCTTCAGTCATCAACTAGAGCTGAAAACAACACAAATTAGGAGTTTCATAATTATTCATGAAACTGCAGATGAAGAGTTGCTGAATCCGCATGACACATTTGTATCATTTCCAACAATTGTGCTAGCTAAGCATCAGAAGGAAAGATGACAGAAAGTCTTCCTATATAGTTACTAGCAAGGGACAAGACAGGGGAAGGATAATAGGCCCAACCTTCCTCCCTCCCTCCCTCAGTATGAACTGAAAAACAATGTTGACATGTTTAATACACCATGGTTGCATTATAGCAAGAAGTTGGTGATATACTACACTAATACTTTAAGATAACACATATTTGATGCATGAACACAAAAGGAACCCTAATTTCCATTCCATGAAGGGAAGAAAGCTCACATTCATTGAGTGGCCCTTTTCTGCCTTCTCCTGCAACCCCTTCCACTTCTGAGTTTGGGGACAAAGTTTTGGATTTGGCCCAGATCATGCCTCCTGGTTGGTAAAGCTCTCCAAATAGGTGATGGTGGGCTGAGTTAAGGCCATGGTAAATGTATCCTTGAAGGAGGAGGTGCTGTCATTCTCCCTGAAGAAGGCAGTGGTGCACCTCTTCCTCAAGAGTCCATCACTCAACTTCGATATTCACAACCAGGTTGTGAGGACAATCGCCCTCTTCCACTACTGTACCCTACTAGGTGAAATAATACTTATGGAAGGCTGCCTCTATTGGAACAGTAGCTTACATCACAGGAAAAATTTGCAATTGCAGTCCTAATATTTTACTGGCACAAAATTAAGAACTTTGTTAATTTTTTTACAGGATATAATATAAAACCTACTCCTTTACTCTTGTCCTAGAAATTCCACAGTTGCATTTCATGATTGAGTAGATGAGTGGTAGATAACATGTTTTGCAAATAAGAAAGTCCTAGGTTCAAATACTGGGAGCTATAGATAGGAGTTGGACAAATACTATGAATTACTGCAGAAAACACAGAGCTTGAACCAGAAATTATCTAAATTATTATACAACAGAATCTATGTTCATTCGCATATGGACATTTCATGAAAATGATGTTCCCAATATTTAATTTTGGAAAACTAAGTAACCACTCCAGCAATGTAACATGACTGTGAAATGAAGTCATCCCACAATTCAAATATACATGTTTAAAGCACATGAGGAGCTTACTTACTGAGCGTTGGAGATGCAATCATAGATGGGTGAATTTTCAATATTTCCTTCTGTTTGACTCCTTAAGTAAAAGGACTTAATTTCTCCTTCAAATAAAAGAAGACATAATCAGATGAGCAATGATCTGTCATGCACTCAATTTTATAACTAGGAAATTATAGAATTAAAAGGCCAAGCTCTCCAGAAATAGAAATCCTATCTTAAGATACCCTTGTCAATGACTTGCATTCTCTCAGCTCTATCTCATAAGACAGATTTCAGCACCATTACATCTGCTGCAATTTTAAAATGCTCCTTGCCACAGCCAGCCTTGGCAATAATCCTCCTATAACTTTGCACCCGTCATCTTCCCACTTGATGTACAGATATCTACACCTATATATTACACATCTTTGGAAAGCCTCCATGGATAAATCAGAACAGTGGCATCTGAGAGGCTGGGTGTGTTAGCAGGTCTGTGCCAAACTTGGATGATAAAATTTAATTCCAGAGATCAACTCTGGAAGAAAGAGGAGGAAAGGTAGAAGGAGAAAAGTTCATAGACTAAGCTGGAACTGGGAAAAATGTTAAAGGGAAGGGAGTGGAAAAAATGGAGAAAATTAAGGCCTTACACAGCAAGGCCATAGTCAGTTCCATGTTTCATCAAGAAAGTATGGATAGGCACTACAACCAGGCTTGAAGATTAGAATCTGGATGGTCTTGGGTACTGCTGGCATTGGCATTCAGCCCAAAGGAGAGTGCAGAAGCCTCAGAAGCTGTTGCCCACAGCACATTCAAATGCTATAAAGGAGAGTTTGTGGAAGAGAAGCAGACATGATGGCAGAGAACGAGGGTGGTTCTTGCAGCATCTGGAACCCAGAGTGAAAAGGGAGGAAGGAGAGAAGAGAAAGAAGGAAAGCTGGAAGGAGTTTAAAACAGAGGAGAGGAGAGGAGAGGAGAGGAGAGGAGAGGAGAGGAGAGGAGAGGAGAGGGGGGGA